ACCTCTCTTCTCTCTTATCAAGCATCTTTCTTTGTTGGTTTTGGGTGTGGACCATTAGAAACATGACATTTGGAATGCTGCTCTCAAGGCTTCAACAACACAAGGATTTACATTGCTATTACTATATAACAATCAAGGTATGATTCTTATAACCCTAATTATGTATTTTTTTATTATATACTAGTGTTCTAGGGTTTATATCTTTTTGTTCAAGTTGTATGTTCAATTAGAGAAAACATATATCAGTTTTTAGGGTTGCGTGCACGCATAGGATTTATATGTTTTGCATAAAACCATCAGATTGAAGTTGTGTAAGTTGGGAGTTTAGGAAACTTCCAATAGTTGATTGGCAAATTCTTTGTGATGTATAGCAGGTATGTGGATGAATCCAAGTTGAGGGTTGTGTTAGAGCCTCACTGCCTGTTCTTGTTTGATGAAAGATTTGGGGTTCGAAGCATGACCCGAACATCTGATTGGAATTCAACTGGATGTGGGTTCGACTTAGGATGATTGGGGTTGATATGGTATAGGTATCGTAAGACTATGGGTGATAACCATGGCGGGTTAGATGTATCGTAAGACTGCAGGGTGGTCACGGCATTCACTGGATTGAAAATTGGTATGGAAGTGTTGTAAGTCTATGATGGGATCGTAACATTCACCAGATTAAGGTAGACTATCGTTTGGGTTGTCATGAGTATAAAGGAGGATCAACTTGTGCCTTAGCCAATGGAGATGGTAGAGTCGGAGAGCATCTCTATGTTATAAGAGGAGGACCATTAGGGTCTGAGGCGAGGTTAGGCCTATGTAGTTCTCGATGGGGTGAGACTTGTGGGTATGGCCCGTTTATTGGTATAGACTGGGTAGGACTCGTGGGCGAGGCTCGTATGATTATAGCACTGTAGGTGGGACCTAGTAGAGACTGGTTGGGTCAAGGTATTGGATCATGGTTTTAGTAGGGATGATTATGTGGTTAGTGAGTAGAAAAGGGTGATGTATAGGCTAGGGTACCATTATCAGTTGGACTCTCAGGAACCTGGCTGCTGGACCAGGTGTGAGACTGGCAGTCACAGATGTGGTTGGGGGTTCTTTATATCCTGGTTTAGTGAATAGTTGTAGTGAATTAGAAGATTTCAGGTGAAATGCAGGTGTAAATCCTTGGATCTGGAGTTACATATTATGTATTGAGTTGGATTTTGGTTGAAACTCGCGTTGGGAATCATGAGTGTATATGTACAAGGTCATTATTTCAGCAAGCTGTGAATTAAGGAATCTATATGCCAAGTGCATCAACTAAAGAGCTCAGGGTCAAAAAAGGATGTTTTTAGTTTGGGTGGTAGAAAAGGCCCTTATGATTGTGCTTTAGAATGGTTCTACCTATATGTAGGCCTGGCAAGTTATGGGAAATCAGAATTATAGCAGTAGCGTATCGGTTCGACAATTAAGAAATCAATGACTTGTTCAACACTAGAAGTTTTAACTGCCAAATTTTCTCGTGTTGCTCATTGTGTTCATGGTCTCATTAACTTTAGGATGAGTCTTTTACTCAAAGGATTATCTAAGCCTTCTATCAAGTGAAAAGGTTCTGGCAATAGCGAATGGTCAATGATTCAGTTTTCCAGTGGAAATAACAAGAAATCCAAAGTTGGGTAATCAGTTTGGAATACAAAGTGGAATTGTAATATCTGTGTTTCATATTGGGCTGTCTATCAAGGGGTCAAATAGGGATTAGAATTTTGGTTTTTAGGCAAAGTAGTAATGATTATTCTTTAAGGGTAGTGGAAGAAGTGTTCTAGTTGTCCGAAGTGGCTAGGAGGTGGTAAGGAGTGATTTCGAGGACAAAATCTAATTTAAGTGGGGGAGAGTTGTAACATCCGTTGTCGTAGATGAATCGAATTAGGGTTTCACAAGGTTAAAAGGTTGGATTTCTTTTTCAGCCACGACGTGGCAATAAGCTTTTGGATCACGGGAGTTTAATGAACCACCACAACATGGTGATTATGTCACAATGTGGTGGCAGCTGTTGGATAAAATCCTAAAGTTTAAGGGTTGAGCTCTATTTAAACTCATTAACCTCTCATAGCCTCCATCTCCATCTCTCCAAATCATCTCATGCAAACCTAGATCCTTTGTGTGAGTTTTTAGCCATAAAGTGTGTGTGTTTAGTGCTTGTGAAGGAAAAAGGTGGTGGAAGATCATATCGGGAGTCCAAAGCAACGTAGGTTCAAGAGTTTATCTTCCTCAAGCATCACAAGGAGGTATTGATGATTTAGTTGATAGAACTATAGATTTTGTACAGTTTTCTCTATGTCTTGTTGCTTTGGAAGGTTGAATCTCATAAAGCTTACAACTTTATGAATATGCAGGTCATTTGGGGCATTAGACTCTTTGGATCTGATTTAGATTTGATTTTTGAGGCCATGAATGGAATCTTGGCCCTTTTGACCTAATTTGACTTAATAAGAGTTCAAGACTTGCATTGGACATGCATATCTGAAAAGCATCGATTTTAATGATGTGTTTGGTGTTGGAAACTCTTATAGAGCCTTTAGGCAAGTAATCTTAAGGATTGAGTAATGTTTCTTAAGTCAAGGGATGTTTTGGACCATAAGGTTGAGATCTATGCATTTTGGAGGGTTCTATTGGATAAAGTTGAAAACTTTAGCCATATAGACCCTATTATGGACCAGATCTGAGTTGGAGACCCTTTATGATGGAGTAAAATGGTTAAATACGTTAAGCTGCTGAAAATCCAGTTACCACGGGGTGGTAAGGCCACCACGATGTGGTGGCGGTGCCAATACCGACTATTTTGTCGTATTTGACGCCATGATGTGGTAAAGGGCTACTACGACGTGGCGGTCAGCTGAGTTGATTCTTCTTGAGTTTTGACCGTTTAACCCAGTTTGACGCAAGGGGATATTTTGGATTATGTTCGAGAATTGACCTTTTGATGGTTAGGTGTCGGTTAGAGCTGAGATTCGGAGTCGGTGCCTAATCATCTATTATTCAGATTCAATGTGAGTTTCCTCACTATGTTTAGCGGGTTAAAGGCACCAATGTCGGCCCATAGTATATTATGTTAGGATGCTAGATGTCTGTATGACTCTTGCATGAGTATGCGTTGGTATGAATACTAAGCGGGGCTCGATGTCGGGCAAGGCCCGATAACTGCATTATATGCTAATTATCAATATGTGTTTTATGCTTACCGGTCAAGGCTCAATGACGTGAGGTGCTCGATGATTGTATAGTATACTATTGTCTTTGTGATTATTATATTTGTGGGCGAGTGGGGCTCGATACCGAGTGAGACTCGAAGCCGGACAAGGCCCGATGTAGAGTGGGCGCATAGTATGTGATTAATATGTATGGTATGCGGTATTTTGGGGGGATTCGCTAAGCTTTATGCTTAGGTTTTTATGGTTATGGTTTCTGGCACTTCCGGTTAGAAAGGTAAGGGTCCGAGTTAATCACAGCGCATCCACCCATATTACCACATAATGATGATGTTGGGATTGTACTCTGATAATTGTTTTCATATAAAGTACTTTTCAATATTTTTTTGAACCGAAGTACTTTTGAATATTTAGATAACGAATATTGAATGTTGACTTAAAGATACATAATGTTTTTGATTGAATTGAAATGAAACTTTTACTTTGTAATTTTGGGTTGTTACAAAAAGGTACTCTAATTATTTTATGTCTCACAAGGGATGATGCAACTAACAATGGATGAAGCGTGTGTCTTTTTACGATATAAAGGACGATTCGAGTTACTTTTGAAAATAAAAGCCAAATGTGTATTTTAATACTTGCACGAGAGATGATTCGTGTAATTTAGTTTATGTTTTAAATCATAAATATAATTTAAAATGTTATACGTCTAGAATATTATAATTCTAAAAGATCGAAATTATTCTATCCATTTAATATTCGAAATTTCCTATATTTACCGGATTTTCCAAGAAACAACTTTATCCCACGTTTCCACCCATTTACTTTATTCCAACAAAGATCGTTTCTTTTAACACAACCTCAACAAAAGCACAACGTGCAAACGAAGAAAGTAGCAACAATAAGAAAGCAGTAATACGAATGCTAAGCTACTGACAATGACGTAGAAGTAGAGGTTAAAGGTCACAGAAGCTCGTTATCTTCTATATCAACCCAACAAACAACTATTCGTGTTTTTTTTTTTTTTTTTTTTTTTTTTTTTTTTTTTTTTTTTTTTTTATCTACCCAACAAACAACTCTTCCTGTGTTTTTTCTTTTTACTGCTTGAGAGTGCGGACACATGGCATGGTGTGCACTCCTGGTGTGGTGCAAGAAAAATGCATTGACCCGTACCTAAAAAAGAAACAATTTTTTGAAATTTAAACGTCTGTTTTTTCTTTTTTTACCACATTATAAATACTAAACATTTTTAACCTTCAATCTCACACAACCTTTTATCACCTTTCTCTCGTTCACCAAAATGGATTCTAAGGTCGAAACAAATCATGTACCTAGTTCAAACATACTTAGTAGAAACAATTGTTCTTTTGATCCATCAATACCCTACTTACTGACCCCAAATAGACGCTCGTATTCATTCATCCCACCAATTTTAATTTCAAAATGTTCAACAATATTATCCAATTAATATGTCAATCATTACACCCAACATGTTCTGAAACATTATAATATCAAGAAAAAAAACATTATGAAAAAAGAATTATATAATATTATAGCAAATGGGTATATCACTAATGTACACAACAAAAGAAGGAAATAACGTTACAATAATTGTACAAAACTTTCTTTAAAACTGTGAAATGAAGACTCGTATTACAAACAAATAATGTCCAATTCTATTCATTGGATCTTTATGTTCACCAAGACAAAGTAGATGGGCTTCCTTGTTATATGAACATGGAGTTAGAGAAAGATTCATCGACTACATCCAAGAAATAGCAACATACTTTCTATTCTCATTTTCTCACTTTTGTTTTTTTTCCCTTATTAAGTCATTATATTTTGAAAATTCCTTTATTAATCAAAGATGCTATAAAAGAAAAAGAAAAAAAACCGATTAAAGTACATTGCTATTTGTGGAATTTAACCGATGATTCTGACAACAGATGGATAGAGGAAGAAAAAATTAGGAAAGAATTATGGAAGATGTTTTAGAAGGTAGAAACTTATGTTGAAGATTGAAAGAAAAGGGAAGAATTTGAGTATTTGGTTGGTAGTGTAGTACTAGTACCCTTTATGGTAATTTTCATTTCCCTTCCATTGCCTCTCTCTTTTCATGGCAGCTTAAGCAAAGGAAAGGACCATCCCAAGGCCTTGCTTTATTGAAATTAGATGTCCCTGAATGGACGGAAATACCCTCCCCAGGTTTCATCTGTTTCTGACACACAGCACAACTGAACAACTTGAACAGGTTACAAAGCGGATATTTCGTATCCAACCTGCAACCAAATGGTATGATATCAGCTGTTAGAATACAGAATCTGAGGGCGTTGTAGTAATTTTGGTATTTAGTATCTAACCTTTCTGAAAGAAAAGCAGAACCTTCCTCTAACATCTCCTCCAACACATCTGCCTGAAGTAAGGCTACATCAACTTGAGGGGGTGACCCTGAACTTTTTCTTCTAAACATTGACTTTAATACCCTTTTACCAGTTCTCTTTGCATGTGGGACATGAGGGTGAGTCTTTTCTGGAGGTAGAATGTCTACAACAATGCAAGTTGTATCATCGCGTAATCCTTTAAACTGTACAGCTTCCTGTACACAGAAATAAAATTAAGAAATAATTAAATATTGATATTTTTTAATTCCTGAATAAAAAAAAAATGATAATAATGTGTTTGTAATCGTACTTCGACAATTTGGGCGGCGGCTGTATCTGGCGGCAGTCCACGACAGCATACTAGAGCGGCTTCTGCTGACATGGCATCCCAGACACCGTCACTGGCAATAATCATCCTTCCACCAGCTGAGGATAGCTGCATGTTACAAGTTATAATTATTAAAGACTAAGATTGTGTAGCTGATAGCTGAAAATCTAGCTGACAAAAACTGATGTTTGGTAAATAATATGTTTTTTTATAATTGATTAAGGGTATATTCGGAAAATCTTAAAAAAAGTCCTGAAAAGCTACTCTAAGGTTATGTTTGGTGTACTAGCTGAAAAGCTAGCTGATAAAAAGAACGTATGGTAAAAGAAACTGAAATATATAAAATGACATAAAAGGGCATTTTAAAAGAATGTGTTTCTATAATTAATTAAGAGGTATATTTGGAAAATTTTAAATAACTCCTAAAAAGCTAGTCTAAGTAGCTTTATAAAAAACTAGCTTTTCAACTACTTTTTGGCTTGACAAACTTGAAATTTTAAAAAAACTCGAAAAATAAGGTAGCTGTGGCACGTCAAACACAGCCTAAGGGTAGGTGGAAGGAAGTCGATCTCATTCTTCCTTTTTTTAAAAGACTAAAATACCCTTACAATAAATACATGGAAATAAATAAAAATAGAAATTTTATTTAAAAGTGAAAGTTTCAAAGCTATGTAGTTTTTGTTATTGAATTTCATTTCAATTTCTGCCAACAAAACACATGACATGTTATGATTCCTTCAGATTCCGATTCCAATTCCAATTCCAGTTCCATTCCTTCAAAAATACAACTGACCTTCACTTGTTTAACATAAGGAACAGGAACAATGAATTCCCCAACATCCAGATCTCCAATTGATCTTGACAAACACAACCCACCAGGCCAACATCTCAAAGGACCAATCTACCAAAAAAATAAGTTTAAAAAAGTTAATATTTTTATTTAAATATAGAAACTAAATAAACCGATATTTTCAATAACTTCAAATATAAAAACTAGACACAACATACATACCTGTGCACCACCACCAGCATTCAGCCGACCAACTTCACCACCACTAGCAGTGACACGCTCTCTCCTACAAAAAAAAAATAAAAAAAATATAAAAATCATCATATACTAAAATAGGACTCAAAACACAAAACATAATATAAGATCTGATAAACATACTCTTCTTCACTGCATTCAAGTCTGTGATCTGCTGATAGATAATATAAGCCACCTTCTGCAGACTCAAGTATGCAACGTGAATCACCAACAGAAGCTACAGTTATAACTGATCCTTCAACAATCACAAATGTCACAGTTGTTCCTGATGATTGAACTGAATGCATAACAATCCATTAGTAAGGAATCAACCCAACTAGTTGCTTATAACTCTCTGCTACTACTACTACATGCATTCAATATAAAATCACCAAAACAGCAAAAAGAAAACGCCTACTTAAAACTCATGTAGCCTATTTTGTAAATTTTAAATCTCCGTGTAAGTTAACATATTGGTTTCAACTCATCCTTCTTATGATGATTAGTGAAGGAAACTAAAAAAAAAGGTGGTGCATACCTTGTTCTTGGAAATCTTTATCTGTTTTCACAAATCCTGCAACCAAAGCCCTAGGCAACACTGAAATCCATTCATCTCGGTTAAGGTCTGTAGGAATAGCTTTCAAGACATTGTTTAATAGGTTCTCCTTGGTATATATAGCTGCTGCAGACCCATTATGTCCATCAAATATCTGCAAAGTTCAAGTTTGGTAAGATAACTATAACTGAAGAGAAAAATGTAAGGGCATAAACAGATGTTTAGAACAAAAAAAAATAAACTCAGCTACTTATCCATCTATTTTATTCTGCCAGATTCAAATGAAAGATCCACCATTGTGTGCAAAGAAAGCATG